TGGCTCTTCATAAAATCCTGATATTTGCAAAGATGGTGGGCTACTCCCCAGTCAAATGCAGATGTACATACTCCAATTTCTTCACTTAATCTGGAGGGAAGTAATGAAAAAAAAAACAAACAACTAACCCCAAACAAAGTAAGCAAACAATTCCCCACCACCAAGCAAATAAGAAACCCCAAAGTTGGAAAAGATGCTAGTCATACAATATTTTAAAAAAAAGCTTCTGCTAATTTTATTTTTGAGAGCAGGTAACCCCCAACAAAATATGTAGACTCTATTTACAATTTGGCAGTCTTAGCGTGCAATATCCAGTACTCTGTAGAGATGAAATATCTTCAAAACACTGAAAAATCACTGTCAAAGCAGTTCCTTTCATTCTTTTTACCACTGAGTACTAGAACTGATTAACTAACTTTAAAGAGTCAGCACCAATACTAGTAGATTGCATGAGGTTCAGATGTCAACCTTCTCTGAATCAAGTAAACCTATATTTAAAATTACAGACAAGACTGAAACTAGAATGATTTAAAGTACTAGACTAACAGAATATGACTTCTTTGGTGAGACTCGCTAGGGACCAGGTAGAAAGGAAAAGGAAATTTTTATCACATATTCAGAATACGAGAAGACTTGTGAATTTTTTTATTTTTTTTTTTTAGTCAAGATGAAATAAAAGCAGACTTTCAAAACATCCTCTGGAAGGTAGTTACATTTGCCCTTGCCAAGGCAGTACATGTTAGAGCAAACAGACACTGAGCTTAAGTCTAAAAGCCTTAATTCTGTGCAACTCTGCTCTAGAGCCACAAGGAAGGTAAGTATTCTCCTACCTCATCTTTCTAGCTCAGAGTTTCCAGAGGAACTGAATAAGACTGATTTTGATAACTAGTGGGTCATGGACTTCTTCCTGCCATCACTGTGAGAAAGCAGGTGTTTCTAGAAAATTTACAGGAACTTTCAAGATGCAATAGTAGCTTCAACTAAAAGAAGGGGAGGGAAATCCAGCACAGGCCTAGACAGTTTAATGCCCTAAAATTATCTCCAGAGTTTTTTAATCAGACAAACTCAGGGTTCTTTACTGAAAAAAAAAAAAAAAAAAAAGAATTCTGAATGTTATTCTTCCTTTCATACCTAGGGAATCTGATTGAAACAAATTAAATAACTTGCACGAGGACACTCAAAGTCTATGTAATGTCTGATCTGGGTTGTACCTTCTGACTACTACTGCTGAATCTTAACAACTCCCTCTTTCCTCCACAAAGCTGCAGGCTTCAGCAAACAAAGCATTCTTTATAGCTAATTGGTATTACATAGAAAGTCAACTGCTCTTATTTACAAAACTACAGATTTATGTCAGGCAAAGCCAATTATGCTTAATGTTTAAACTATTGCAGGTGCTCAGTGACATTGTTGCTAGGCAGTAGAAGTGAAATTGCTCTTTTAATGCATCTTGTTCCAACTGGGAGCATGTGTTTTATCATCAGTGCAAACTTAACAGATGGAGATCTTAATCCTCTCCAGTGAGTTTTCTTCACTCTCCCGCACTCAAAATGGTGTCCCATCCATTTAGGTTTAACTGAGGTGCTCAATGAACTGTCTGGGACAGAACTTGAATTTTTTTTTGGTGTGTGTACATGAATACAGTATAAAAGACACATTTAACCACATTAAAAAGAAACCCCCAAACTGTACCAGCAGTAACCAGCAATACACCTGGCTATTCAAGGCTAGTAATGACCTCTGCTGAGCACAGCACCTACTCAAATAGTTATAAACCAGAGCTGCACAAAAGCAACTTCTTCCAAAGTCAAGACTGAATCTAGAGTCCTTTATACTAATTTCACTCTGTGCTGAGAGATTTAGAAAATTTAGGCAGCATTCAAATAGAAAACTGAACTGAGATGTTTCTGGTTCCTAACCTCACTCAGGAGGCCACTTTTTCCACAATACATTTCAAAATTAATCTTTCATGTTGGGAATTAAAACATTCATATCTTGGATTTGCTTGGTGCAAAGCAATACAGAACATCAACAGGTGACTTCAAATACAAGCAATCAGACCTGAGTGTTTTGTTATCTCCCTTGAAAACTGCCAACTATCTGAAATGCTGAACAACAGAAGGCTATCCTAACATTTTCCACCTGCTTATTATATCATTTCATATGTGCACACATCTCCTTATTTTTTTCTGTCCTCTAATTTTTTCTACTGTATTAAACCATGTGAAAAGCAGCTTCTTCCAAAGTCAAGACCAAACCTATAGAGTCCTTTATACTGATTTCACTGTGTGCTGGTGCAAGATTTATAAAATTTCGGCAGTGCTCCGAACGTACAAAGGATTCCATCAGCTTTGTATTGGAGTCCCAGATGCTGCATTTTGAGAAGCATCCCTGTCTGTTGGTTTTAACTGCTAAATTGCCCTGTCATAACAGCAAGCATGATTGATAGACTTTTGCATGTAGCTTCCTCTGCACCAGCAACCGAAATAAGTCAAAATCCAGCGATCAGTGCCTCCTTTTCTTTTTACCATCCATCTAAAAGGCCAAATTCTTTATTAAATCTGATAGAAAAAGCATCCCTCTAGTCTCTGTGAAGAAGGCAGAGAGCTTTATTTATCCCAAAGCCCGTTCTAATCCCTACCTTCCAGAGTACCTCTTTATGAAGGCTGCCCAACTGCTTCCTTCATTGCTGAAAGCCTTTCTTGCATGATTGCATGCCAGACAACTCCTATCCAGGGAGTTAACTAATCCTCTTTTTCTTGCAGAATGATCTTCATCAAACAATTCAACTGCAGTAGCTGCATTCTATTATCTGCTTTCATCTATTCTTGCATTTTGATTTCTGAGATAAAAAAAAAAAAAGAAAAACTGGTCTGAGGAAGTTTGAGGTCATTTGGCCTGAGAATGTATCAGGGGAAACACTATCTTGAAATAAGGTTAGATTTCTCGTTCTCCTGTTCTCAATGTGAATGGTTCCACACTGCTGTTATTTTTGCAGTTAAAAAAATAAAATTATCATTAGGTGTTAAAAGCATTTTTAGCCCAATTATATCCACTTAGATTTTACTCTTTTATTACATAGTTCTTCTCCTCTTGTGTGTAACTCTCAAATGCATTGGCAGCAACCACATACCTCCTGTCAGCAGACTCCAGACAGTATTTTTGTAACTCTTCTGTGCCAACGCAAAGGTCAAGTCAAGTATTCAAGAATTTCTCATGGAAGACACTAGGAATTTTCATGGCTTAAATAATTATTACAATACAAATACATTTTAGAAAATAATACCTTACAAGCAAACAACTCTCAAGCGTGGCCGGTAAATTTACTCAAATATGTGGAAATTGGTCTGTCCCCCACTTTGTGGTGCCCTCAGAGAATAGATCCTCCAGCCCTGCTTGTGCAGCCACTTTTGGAGGAAGAGTCTGTCCCTTGCTGGCAAGAGCCAGGGCAAGACAAGCAGGTAGCCTTGTTTCCCCCACCCCACTTCTTACAGGGCAAACAGGGAGTTGTACACTCAGCTCTGCCATCAAGGCACGACATCCCCCACTCAGTCAGAAAGCAGATCTTTGACAGGGATGATCATTTCAGATAAAACTTGTAGAAAGATATACTTACTTCTTCCATCTCCACCGGGGCTTCCCAGGATTCCTTTTTTTTACCACAAAGATATTAAACAAGTTCCACAAAAATCTTACTTCCAGATGGGTACTTCTTTCTACAGTATCTGTTGCCAGCTGGGCTTTAATGGGTCCCTCAGCCACCTCGTAGCTCTCCTGCTGACCCTGATCTCCATCTTCACAAGTTATTTCCCATGGGACATACGTCAAATGCTTTACTGAAATCAATGTACATCATCTCTACTATGTTTTGTTTAGAAAATGAGTTCTCATTACACAGACATTAAGGTAATCTGTCAAATCTACCTTTGATACATCTGTGTTGCATTTGAACCAATTTTTTTTTAAATCTCATGACTAGAAATATTTTTTTAAATAATTAAATACTAGTGAGATGAAACTAAGAGTTCCTTGCTGCCCTCCTTCCTACATCTTAGGTGTATTTACTACATTTTGCTCCCACTTCCACAATGCCCAACCCAAAGTTACAGCATAAAATACAGTTAATGGTGGAGAAGTGATTTCCTTTACCAACTCTTTTATAGTTTCAGCTCACAAACTGCCCTGTATCACTTAATTACATTCTTTTAATGTAGTTTCTCTTGTGATAGAGCATTCCTCATATCTAGCAAGCATTTTGACTTAACTACCAGTTCCATTATGAACATCTTGATATCAAAGTGCTCCTTTAGTTTATGAGTTTGATATGTTTCCTTATGACCTAAATACTCCACTTCTATTCTCACTCTTTTTAGTAATATGACTTTTAAAAAGAAATGTTAAGTGCTAGATTAGCATCTCTCACAATAACAAAATCAGCCAATCAACAAAGATTTTTTGTAGATCTTTAAACTAGAATGCATTTTACTAATAATTTTTTCACCCCATTTCCAACTGCATCTACCCTTTCCCAATCTTTTTTTTCCTAATTAAATTCAACTCCTGAAACTGGGCTGCAATTTGTAATTTTGATGTAAATAAATTCTAGTCTCCAGTTCTCCTCCTATCATTTTTCTTTATGTCATCCTTTATGGATGGCAAATCTCACAGTGCTTCTGCCAGATAAGACTGGATGCCTCAGCATTAATTTTTCATGGCACAGTTTATGGACTGATGCCTGGTATACAGTATCTAGTACATTTTTGGTAGATCTCCAAGCAATTTGCAAGGAAGATTGCAAAGTATGGCTGTGTCCATTTTAGTGACATGCAAACTAAAGCAACTGGCAGAAGGCTGAGTAGCAGATCAGCAGCAGATCCAAGAGCAGCACACGAGTCTCCCACCTTTGCAAGTATCAACCAGCCAATACCAGACTCCAAAATTACTTGTAAATGTAAATACTGTCGCAAAGCAATTTGCTAAACAAATGAATGCATGTTTATTAATTTTGAACCATTCCTAAGTACAAATATATGTGGATACCTATCTCCATATAGACATTAAAAGCCTCTCCCCATTAACCATGCCAAGCAGTGAGCTCTCCTTCTCCTCAGTGTGAATTATGACAGTTCAGCCTCCTACAAGGCAAAATCTCATGACAAATGCTATTTTGTAAACTTATAAATAACATTGTTATTCATCAGATAATTCACAAATACATTGGTGGTTCCGCTTAAGTATGCTAGGTAATTTATCATCAGAAAGTTGGTGGATAACACAATCAAAATTTAGTCAAACAAGGGTGAAATTTTATCAGATTTTTTTCATAGGGGACAAAATGGGAGATCTTTCCAGGACAGTATCATAACGCTTGATGGCTTTTCCATGCTTCAAAAGTTTTTCTCCGGAAAGACTTCCTCTGAATTCACTGGTGTAATCCTCATGCAGTTTGTTGTATCTGGGGGAGATGATAGGGAAGGAAAATACCAAAGTAATCATCCTTTCAGGTATTAGCTTCACCCATTGTTTATTAGGCATTACTTTTCAAGGTACAGTGCCTTCTGAGTCCTGGAGTTCTAGGCAGTCAAAAAAATAGGACAGTGATATGCATTTTCCTAGAACCTTTCAGATCTGCAGGATGAGAAGTGCCAAACTGGATATAAATGTTAATAATACCTATACTGTGCCTTTTTAATGAATTTAAAAAATAAACGTGTCTTTTTCCTCAGAGAAATTTTAGTATATTTTTCTAATTCAGAGTTTTAAAGCCTGATTTCTCCCACACGTAATCAGCGTTTGTCTGAATGGTCCTCGCCCTTTTTTTCTCCCCTCTGGGAGAATTCTTATTCAGCACAAAATTAAACAATTACCTTTGACCTCAAAAGCCTTATTTTTTTATGTTTTGGTTTTCTTATTGACAAATGAAGTGCCTTGGTTCTGAAGTGAAAAACTGATTTGAAATAATTTTTTAAAAAATTTTTTTTCTTACTCTTAGGAAGACACATTTCCTCAAAAACATGTTAAGTTGTGGAAAATTTTTTTATTGAGTTGAATCCAATTTTATGTCAACTTTTTGACTACCAAAACCTTTTATTTTCAGCAGTAAATGTCACAAATGAAAATTTCATTTTACGGAAGAATAAAATCGCATTTCATAAGAGGAATACAAAGTACATGCAGGAGAAACTTTTTTAGTTGTGGCTCAGGTCACGTTTAAAAGAAGAGAATCACATTGAAAGAATTGACAAGATGCTACAGTAAACTTTGGTGCTGCAAAGTTGGTGTTAAATGTAATGGAAAAAGCAATAATTTTGTCAAGAGCTCTAGAAGTGCACTACCCTTGTAAGTTTTTCATTACTGTCATCATCAAATCTCTGCTTCACAAAGGTTCCTGAAGGATTTCCATAGAACTGCCTCCCAGTGCCTAAGAGTGAATGCCATTTGCATGTGACCCTTCCCACTCCCGGTGACACAGGTTGCTTCCCTCCCTCTTCTTGACTTCAAATATTACTTATAACGCTGACAATAGAGTTAACTGTGATGAATGTTTTGGAATGTGGAAGGCAGGCTAACTTTCAGACCACCCTGGATGTAAGAGGGGACGGCAGCTGCGAGTTCCTTGCAGTTTACAGGTGACATACAGGGATTAAACTTACGCTCTATAGGCGTAGGTTCAAATTGCTTCCTGGGTGGGGGCTGAGAAATTCTGTTGTCTCCAGCAGAAAGTTGCTTTCATCCCATGCCCAGTAGAGTGTCAGAAAACCTTGCAGGGTTGTGCTGTTGAAACCACTGCATACAGCATGAACCTGTAGTGGTCTGCTGCTTTCTTACCACCCCTCTGACTACTGTCCTGTACTAAAGGTGTAAGCTTGTTGAGATGACTGTATTGTTTTCTATAAATTGGTACAAAGCCAAGTGCAGTGGAAGTCAGTTCCATGGCCAAGATATCTTTGTGCTCCTATCTAAACTCCATGCCAAAATATTTAAACCTTTCTATAAAGAATATGACCCTCTTCTTTAAGACATTTTAAAATTAATAAGACCCCTTAAGTATTTAAGGCTAATGGTACCAGTCTTTTTTGTTTAACCTTACCACATTTTTGTTGTGAAATCTCTGTTCACATATCTATCACTACCAATTCTTAATTACACACTGGTTTACAGATTCTACAAGAATTTCTACCCACACCTACAAATGAAATGTCAAGCTTTCGTTTTCTTACACATACCTGTGTGCAATGGTCCAGAACCCCAGGGTGTTCACCATCATTAAGGAAGCCAAGAAGAAGAAGAATCTCTCCAATTTACCTTCATGCAGCAAGTGTGGAAACCAGTTGCCTGGTAAAGCAGACATTTGAAGCAGAATTAGTTTGCCTTGCAGCAAGAGACATGGCTCATATGGAAGACACAAAGATAACTTTGTGTAAGACACAAACCCAGCAGGTGCTCTGAACCCCCCTGTAGATGTTTATACAGACTTCATTCTCACAGCACCTACGTGGGGTTTTTTTTGAGTCTACAGTGTATGTTTGCTCTTGCTTTGCAGATGGGCAACAGAGACCTAAAGAAACTAAAAAACCTTCCTAATAAATCTGAAGCGTACTGGAAAACCTAATTCTGCACAGCCTCTCCTGCAACGATTGGGCCACCTTCCCTCTGTATTATCCTGTGCACACAGCTAAATGAATGTTAAATGTGAAAGTTTTAGAAAGAGCTACAATAAGGTGGCCAGTAGAAATCCTTATTCACATCTTACATGCTTTTAATAGATTCTCCTTAACAAAAAAATTTTAAAAAAACCCCAAAACATGAGAAGTATTTGCTTGGTGCCTCCATTACCAAGATGCCATCTGACACTTTACCTTTCTTTATAGCTGCCTTTAGCAACACATTCTTCTCTTGCATGCAGTGTTTATTTGCATGAATCAGATCTGTTTGTACCAAAGCTTTTGGCAATAGTGTCTGGGACATTTTGGCAGCCTCCATTCAGCAGAGGACAGAACCATCTGGGTGCACGAAGAGGCTTCCCTGCTTGTATACCTGTGTGCTTCAGTTTGCAGCTGCATTGCTTTCAGTGTTCATTGCAACAGGTCTGCAAACAGGCTCGGGTGGTAAATAACTATGGAAATCAAAATGCTTGAAAAGAAAGCCAGCCCCAGTCAGTCTGCAACCAAACACAGTAAGCACCTGAAGAACCATAACCAACTACAGTAAAAACATAAAACCAAACTGAAAAAGAAGACAGAAACTGAAATTACAGAATATCAGAGACCTATACAGTGCTGTAATGACCACTTACATAATTTGGAAATATAGAATATTTATTGCCTTTGAAGAAGGCAGATAGACTGTCTTCATTAGCAATTAATGAAGAAATATAGAATGTGAAGCAGCTGGTGCTGAAAATGCAATGTCCGCACAATCCACAGCTCAGGGGGGTTCACATCAGACCAGTTCCCACTAACAGCTGGAACATATCAGACATGAGCATTCCTTTAGCTCCATCCAAAAGGAATGCACTTGTTTTTATGCTCCAAGATCATTCTGCAATGCAAATCAGAGATGATCAGGAGATTCAGATTAAAAGCACACTCCTGATCTGCACTAAAATACCATCATTAATACGCCCAAAGTCACCTTTCTTTGCTACATCCAAGTCTGGTATCAAATCCTGCCGATCTAAATAGTGTGGCTATTCAGCTCTTGAATGACCAAAAGAGGAGAGGAGGAGAGCCAGCTTTCTTGCCACAGCTGTGCTGCACAAACCTGTTAGCCTTAACCAATCTTCCGGCCACTAATGCCATCTTTATCCATCAAATGCCAACCTTAACTTGTCAGTATTTTTCTAATTAGAGAAAAAGAGCAGTTCCACAACACGGGAGAGACTGCAGCCAAAGAATTACAACCCCCTCCCCAACACGCATCCGTGTATTTACATTTTTTCGTCTTCCCTCCACGTCTTAGAGTTGTAAACATGTTTCTTTTCAAAGCCGTCGCCTTTAGCTCTCCTGGGATTAACGGAGAACAACTGCCATCCGTGCAGCAGTTTTCCCAAACCCCTCTGCAGCTCTCCCCGTGCCACGTTACCTTCCTGCCTGTCTCAGAGCAGCACCACCTCACCTCCGTCTGCGCCGCTCCCTTTGAGGCGCCTTCTCAGAGCGAGTTTTAAAACGTGTCATTTAACACTGTAAGTCGACCGAGCTCCTAGGTGCTGTAACTTCATTTTAGCAGCTTATAAACTTTTACTGTCATAATTCACAATCAGGTAGTTTTTCGTTTCGCAGCCCCCGGTGGCCAATAGAAGTCGGGGAGAGAGAGCGCGTGGAGCTGATGGAAGAGGAAGCGCGCACGGGGTTTGGTGCTACGGCTTGTCAAAGCAGAGTTCACACTGCCTGCTAGGTTATTCACATTGGCCAGGCTGACTTTATGAGCAGCAGGAGCTCTTTAATGGAATGGCATTTAAAATGGAACCTGAACAGAAAGCGTGTACTTAAAAACTAGCACCGAGCGATAAAAACAAACCAATAAGTAAAAATAATTTAGCAGCTTCTAAGAGAATGGGGTGAAACGGACCTTTGAAGCTGTCTTACCACTAGTGAAGGCACCAGATGGAAGCACTGAAAGGGGGAAGTGTTGGAGGGGTAGGAGGGCAGCCTGGCAAGCAGGAGATCTGGGTTCTGCTCCCACTTCACCACCAGTCTCCTCCATGGCCTGGGTCAAAGATCATTGCTCTGTCTCCTCCCTGCTTCTTCTACTAATAGCTAGTGTGTAAACAGCAAGGCCAGGATAATGACACAGAGCTTTTGGAAAACCCTCTAGTATAAATGAGCAACAGCATAGGCAGGGACAAAACTGGATTGGGCATGATAAGGCTCCAGCTGCCATAGCACACACGTTTTCCCTCTCTTGTTTCCTGCTCTGTCCAAAGCAAGAGGACTTTTCCTTTCAGAGAAGGGCAACAAGGTTTGTCAGGGGTATCTTTTTCTACAGAGGAACAACGATGGCAGCAGCCCTAGGATACCCAGACTGTAATCCTACTGCCAATATGCATTTTCATCAGAGGACGCAGCAAAGATTAATGTAACTATTTCCTATTTTCAGCTGAAAATATTTACTTCTCACTCTTTTTTCTTCCATTTTCCCCTTTAAATAAAAGTTTTTCCATGAAAGAGGGGATTAACCTGCATTTACTTCTACTTACACTCACTTTACAGAGAATCCTCTCCTCTGCTGGCAGGAAGCCTTGGGAGAACAGTCATCAGTGCTAAAATATCTCCCACGTGTTTCAGTCACCAAAACTCCCTTTAGATGCTTTCACCCCTTACCCCACTAACAGCTTCCAAAAGCTGCCTGCAGACTCCAGTACCCTCCACTGACCAGGTTTGGGGTTCATACCTTCAGGATCTTACTCTCAGCCATGAGCACCAGGAACTTAGTGGAGCAGCTTGTTTTTGTTGGAGTGAAGCACCCTGGGCACTGCTGTCTTTCAATAGTCCAGCACTTTCTCGTCCTTGAATCAGCATGTGATATGCTAACAATTCACTTTCCCCCAAAAGGGACTGCCTTTGGGTTCTGTCAATCCTTTACTTTTCTATGGAGATTGCCAACAGAAGTGCCAATTACAAGGTTGGTTTGTCACATGGATAATTGCTCACTGGGAATTAATTTTCTACAACAAGCTTTTGATTTCCATTTTTATTCCAACAATGGAAATACTTTGTAGCATGAATCACCACAAAGAATCAGAAGTTTCCTTTAGTTCGCATATATTTTAAAGAGACTTTTCTTACTGGTTAGAGGTGAACTGGGTTCATATTTTACAGCAAATTTAGAACAAATTAGAAGTTAATTCTTAGCACTGTCAGTTCCTCAAGCCTGCTCTACCATCACGGAAATGAAGTACTAGGTGAACTTTCACTGACATTTTGCAGGCCTATCAATTTTGTATTCAAATTGCTCAGTTAGTACAAGAAAAAGGAATATTATATAACACCAAAACACACGATCCTACCAAAAACAGGCAGAGGTGTAGGTGAAGCAGAGATTAGGACATGGACGAAAACTTTCCTGGGCTGCTTCTGGTGGATGACTGACAGCAACAAGCTGCTGGCACTATTAGCCACCAAAGAAGATGTGGAAAGGGCTGTAAGCCAAACTTAACAAATACTAGTGCACACGGTGCATCTCTTACTAGGATGGCACCCTTGGAGAGCTCAAGGGAAGGCCCAAAGTTGCACAGGAAGGCATTCAGTTGTTTTTACTGAATGACACCATCGTATTTTATTACAGAGAAAACACTGAAGACAAAGCAAAACAGTCTCGTACCAGAAAGTCAGTCTATTCAGTACCATTCCTGCATTTTTGCATCTATCCAGCAACCTAGACTATGATTACAGAAAAAAATTATTTCATATCTTAGAAAAGGTTTGTATTGCCTTCAATCATTTCATCAACTTAGTGGGCATGTATGTAGTGTTTAATCATATCCAAATTAAAGTCTCAATCTGCCTCTAATCCTTATTAGCTAAGTAGGTATCAGTGGACACCACCATCTGGACTGTAAGAAATACCCTTTAGCTTTATCATCTTTGGTATTTAGAATCACACAAGGCTCCAAATGAAAAAAAAAAAAAGAAAGCCACAAAACAAAACACAAAAAGCCCACCAAAAAACACAACCAAAAAAAGCCAACAAACCCAAACCACAGAAAAAAAACCCCTAACGATTCTCTAAATACTGTGTCTGGGGCAATTTCCTTCCTCTGACCTTCTTTATTTTTGTTTCTTTCTTACATATTTATATTATTATTTTTAGAGAAATGTATTCTGAAATGATTGGCATAGGAGGACAGGTTTTGTCTTGCATCTTCTTCCGTTAAAATGTTAGGAGAGGTAAGAGATCCAAAAGAAAGCAGTTTCCCAGCTTGTACTGAAAATATCACTGTCACCCATCATCTGTTTGCACTCGTCAGATTTTTTAAAAAAGTCTTATTTTATCATATTCACACCATCCTCCATAGATGCGTTAAAAATGATTAATGCAGCTTTGACTGACTGATATCTGATCAACTTTGCCAATAAAAAAACCCAAATAAAATTCTAAACCAGTGACATGAGATAGGATATAAAAAAGTTTAAATTTTGTCAACACCCTCTGTGCTTCAACACTTCAAAATACACATTGGAGGATCTACTTCGCTGCAGAAACATGGCAAACGTGGTCTCATTGCTTAGAGATGGGAGAACCAGAAATAGTCTTGGCTCAGGTTTTAGTTGGGACAAGACAAAAAGCATTCATAGCCCAGGAGTCACACACTAAACCTTGTTAAATCTTGCAAAACCGTTGCATGAACACTATCTTCTCTTTCAGAAAATGAGAAAGAACTTTCAATATAAATAAACTAGCTGAACTTTTTTAGGAACAAACAAACAAAAAAAAGGTTCTGGTTGGTTTGCTTTACTCCCAGTTCCATAAATTGTCCAGATACCAAATATTCGACAAGCTCTTTAAACAAAGCTGAAACAAACCTGACCAAGTGTCAGTAATGAGAGCTTAATTTGTGTAACTGGACTGTAATTTAACCCAGGAGAGGACACAGTTTTATTCCCTAAATCACTATCATCCTTAGAAGGTTCAATAGGTAACCATTAGACTTTATAAATTTTAAAATTATTATTTTCCTGATCTTTAGTTTTTCCTCACAAGCACCAAAGAACACTGTAAAAAGCCCAGTGGAAGAGCTGGAAAAAATACAGATGGGAACAGAAGAATTTTGTTCATTACAGTTCCTACCAAACCAGGAGAAAAACAAAACCAAGCCTAAAATGTTTCTTTGGTTTTCTCCTAGTCTGTACCCAGCTACAGAAGTCTGATCCCAAACCTACTTTGATTGAAGAGTCAGCTGGACAAAAGTCTATCTGGGATGAGTAGAGGAATATACTGTCTTCAGTCTGAAGCATTATAACACAAATGAGGATGCAGGAATATCTCCATCTTTTACAGACTGTGAATTGCATGAATTATGGTAATTTGGAATAATTAATCTTATTCAAGCAAGGAACACTGGGAAAGAGATAACTTGTGAGATTCCACTTATTTTTAAGAGTAAAAAGTGAGAGCCTAATAATATGTTGTTTACATACTAATAAGGAAAGTATCCTCTAACACTCATGTAACTGGAGCAGCAGAGCAAACATTGAACATTTTTCACTTAGTTTTTTCTAAAGCCTTTAGAGTTTTCAGAGGACATTTCTTATTTAGGGGTTTATTCAGTCCCATTACGGCACCTTAATCTGAATATAGACTGTCACTGAATCCCTGGGAAATTTAAGAGTGACTTTTGCTCAGGGTAATGGTGGGGTCCACAGGAACAGCAGGTCTGACAAAGTTAAACAAAGACATACTTATAGTGCCTTTTTTTTTTCTTTGGTCAAATCTAAGTAGAGAAGTTTGCTATGTATAAGAGTGATCAGGATTTTAGCCAGAACACTTCTCAGTTTGCTCAAGAATCTTGAGTGAAAGGGGTTAGAACATGGCAACTGCATCCTGTGGAGAATTTGGAGAGTTCAGCCTTCTCGATCCCAGACAGGATAAGAATTTGAAATCTCTGTTAAAACAACATTTCTGGCAAGGAATGAGCATTTTCTTTTTTGAATCAATTGAATGATTTCACACAGAATTACAGCAAAATAATAAGTCACCTTGGTAGAAAGCTAGACAAAAATGTCCTGAATTGAAAACCAAATGCAAAAATTGTTTTCCTTTATCGCTTTGTATAAAAATACTCACTAATAAATTAATTACATAAATAGTGACACAACATAGGCAAAATATTTTGGTGCTGACATTATGCCTAATTATTTTATAGTTATTTATTTAGTTATACCCAAAGTAAAACTGCAGTAAAATATGTCAGTTTTACTGAATATTTCAACTTTATAGAAATTGATAATTTCCATACTTCAGGGGGAGGAGAGTAAAAAAGACAGCAACATAGTCTTTCTTAAACTGTTTGTTTCATTGAACCTGTATTTCACTGAACCCATAGTACACAATGAAAAACAGTCTGTTCTACTGGGCGACATTCAAGGAGCTCACCTCTCCACACTGGATGCCTTGGTACTTAATAGCTCTTTGCCTGATTCATTTCTGTAAACATTCCTGTTTTTTACCCATCTCTAGGTGATGTTTTTATACCTCATAATAAAATTTTAATTGAATTTTTAACTTAAAACGAGCACTGCATGTCAAAGAATTATTTGTTTGTTCAGATCTTGCAAGTAGGAATAAAAATTTCCTGTCATCCTTTCAAAATACCCACTTTCCCCTGTTTTTAAAATACATGATTCTTTACGCAGGAAAGAGAAGAATCCAAAACTTAACCCTGAGCAGTTGCAAAATTCTGCAGCTGTGGTAATTGCAGTGGTGTCATGCACTGGGGCCAGGAGCTGTGCTCTCTCAGAGAACAGTTCTCTGTAACACAGTACCAAAAGAGCTTATCAATGGAAAGCATCTTTAGAAGTACTGCCTCAGCAAGTGGAACTATTTCAGACGTGAACAAAGGGATCCTTGTCCCTCGGTTCAAGTGCTCAAGTGCTTTACTTTTTAAATTTACTTATGAAACAAGTCTTTTCTGTATTGAACAAAGATTCATCAGCAAAGGAAAAATGACTAAGAAATTCTTGGCTTATCTTGAAAGTCAGCAACCCAGAAAAAACTCCAGTTCAGGGCTTACACTAAATTCACCTCAACAGGCTGAATCTGAAAGAACTCCTTTTGAAACAGGAAGTTCTCTGGGAATTGCAGTATTCACCTGCAAAAGGTTGAGATCATATTTTCACTGAATCTGGTTCTTCCAATAGCTAGGCAAAGGAAATGATGTAAAGAAAGCAAGAGAAAAGTAATGGGTCCAGGAGAACCAGTTCCCTAGACAGCCTTGAAACACTCAATCCACTTCTTTACCCCGTGATTATGTGGAACAGTCAGGAATGCATGTTCTCCATCCTTTAAAGCACAGATCTTCCTCTCATGGCCAGAGGCTTCCACATGGGTATGAATAACGTGAACTTATGAACATAAAAAGGTGCTTCCTAGCCAATTTATTTTCTTGTCTTCCAGAACAGAAGTACAGAGATTGGATATGAGGACTTCCTGTGAGATGCCATCCTCTAATTATTCCAACTATCAAAACTAAGATGACTCATTAAAATTGGATGAATACAGTTGGAAGGCTATTTCCTATCTTAATTCCATCTTAATTGTGAGAGCAAATCAATGAAACTTTGGCATCTCCTTTAATTCTGCTACCTAATTCTCCAAATCAATAATATGAGAAAGCTGCTCCGCAACACCAATCATGAGCATACTCTTACCTTGAGTGCCTGCGTGGGCTGTCTGAACAAAGAAAGCTCCCATAAAGCAGCCAGCTCCATTAAAGAGAGCTAAAAAGTGCATGGAAATCCCTCTGATTCTTTCAGGCACGAGCCGGAATGAAAGTAAGGCACCTCGGAAAGGAAACAGATACAGTTACAGGTTAAAAAAAGAAAAAAAAAAAAAAAAAAAAAAAAAAAAAAAGAAGTAAATTATGTCAGAAGGTAGATAAGACAGAAAAATATCTCGAAGCATCTGTAAGAGAGAATTTCCATATTTTATACAGAGGATGTACTTGCTGCAGAAGAGCAATCAGATGTGTTAGCATGTACCCTATTAACAAAGCATTATCTAAACTGCTTAAGTGAATCTCTGTAATAAACTACAGCTTGTACAACTATCAGTGTTCCACAAGTACACAAGGATTTTTCACCCCTATAGCTGCTTTCACTTTTTAAAACCTCAGGCATAAGCAAGACCAGAGAAACAGCACCATGGTCAGTAAGCATGAAGACAAGAGGTGTGATATTTAACTGCAGAAGACCAGGAACTCCTAGGCCAGAGCCAATGCAGTGCTGCCCCTACTAAATACTTCAGAAATCTAGAGCTCTATGTTAACTTGGGCAGTTACCTTGCTCTTTACCTTAAAGCTGGACAATGCTCTTCTTCCCCAGAATGCAACCCCCAGACTCACAGGATAATTTTTAAGACATCCTTCTTCATTTTTTTTTTTGCCAGAAGGCTAAACCAGAAGAAGCAACAGCTTTGGTACTGAGGAGAAGCTGTAGCATGCTGTTGTAGCATAGATGACTACAAATAATCCCATCAGCTGCAATTTGGCTAAAGTAGGTTACATTAACAGCAAGACTTTATAATAGCTGTTTTTTTTCAAGTATTTTCCCCTGATTATCAGTAACCTCTCTTTCCTAATTTCATACCTTAAGCCCTCATCCACACTTGCTTGCCAAGCCCCAGTGCCTCCCAACCTGCTTTATTAGTTGAATTTGCATGACCTCTAGCTTGAAAAACATGCTGTAGAGGATCCTCTTTGGATGTTGAGTCGCCTGAAACATCTCTGAATACAAATGAAACTTTGCAATCACCACCTTTCACCGTTTATAACTTGAATGTCCAAATAAGAGCTTTGGAAACATGCTAAAGAAAAAAACACCATGGAGAGTGTTTTCTTCCTTATTCACAAGAAGAACCAAAAGCCTGAGGGCAAGTGAAAGCAAGTGAGCCTGTGACATCATCTGTAGATGCAACAACACAGTCTGAAACATCACACAATCAGTGTCCTGGCTAATTTGAATCACTAAGACTAAGAAGTTTTTGGTTATACCTCTCTTCTGGAAACAAGGGTGCAAAACATGCATCTTGGCCAAATTCAGCCTGGGCAATTGCATCCTCCTTACCCAAATTACCCCTGCTGTTTCAGTTGCATACTGCAGTAAAACTATTAAAGAGCTGCTGCATGTCACCCTGGAGACTATTGCATTTCATTGGTGGGCAAAGCAATCCCAAATATAGCCTCTAACAGAGCTGTTTGCTACAAGGCTTCCCACTTCTAAGTGTTTTGAGACACGTTGATGGTGATACTCTTGCAGCACTTCAGCAAGCACTGATTTCTTTTAAATCGTTGAACCTTAAAAGACTGGTTTCCTAGTTAAAACTGAGGGTTACAAATTCAGCCTGGCAAAGGACTGTGAGATCTTACATTCTAACACTGTGGAGGAGAGTAATATCATTATTTTGTTTTTAAATATTACCTTAGTGGTAGGAGAACATTAAATGATGATATTATTCTAAGAGATGCTCATGTCACCTGAAGCAGATGATCTTACAAAACTCCTGTCAACACGATAATGAAATATGTTGTATAAACATAATTCTAAGTATCAGGGACCAAATCAGAGATTGGCTTGAGTTGGGAGGGACCTTAAAGATCATCTAGTTCCAACACCTCTGCCATGGGCAAGGACATTTCCCTCTAGACCGGGTTGCTCAGAGCCCCATCCAACACTGCCAGGGATGGAGCATCCACAACTTCTCTGGGCATACTATCCCAGGCCTCACCTCCCTTACAGTAAAGAATATTTTACTAACATCTTATCTAAACCTACTCTCAGTTTGAAGCTGTTCCCCCTTGTCCTGTCACTACATGCCCTTGTAAATGGTCTCTCTCCATCTTTCTTGTAGGTTCCCTTGAAATACTGGAATGACACAATCAGGTCAACCTGAAACCTTCTCTTTTCCAGTCTGAACAGTCCTAATAAAAGAGGTGCTAATGAAGATAAAGAGTTTAATATGCCAAATCTAACTTCTCTAACCAAGCACTTCAGAAATGAGATTACTCCTTTCTTCCCTCTGATTACAAGTGTGAACATTTCTGTCTTCAACTCGGATCATGTACTTTCAGGTCAAGTAAATTATTATGATAATTGAATTTGACCTTCTGCATAGGAAAGGCAGTAAAATGTCAGGAAAGCTGGAACAACTATTTAAGTGTCTAGGCTGTCACTAACATCCACAGAGATCCACTGAATGGTTCCTGAAAGGCAATTCAGTTCACACTGAAGTAGAAACCTGGAGCTCAGTTCAGAAGCCTGAACACAGATGCTTAGTGCTGCCAGATGTGCTTCAGTGAACCTCAGCCATCTGCTTGGGGGTGTGATCAGACATGGTGCAAGACTTGTGGGAAAAACCATGTTCTTCTCCAGCAGCACCTGGGGTAACAGAGACTGCGAAGACCCTGCTTGTCCAGCGTGCGTGGCCGAGATACTCCATGACAAACGGGGCCAGACATCTGTGTGGGCAAGGGAATGGAGGCCAGCATCCCCATCAGCTACAGCAATAATCTGCTTTAGGCATCTACCTTTAGGTTTCTGTATGCAAGCCTCAAGTTTAGACTTAGTCCCATTTGCCTGGGTTCTTAAATCACGCCTCTAACTGCAGCTCTTAGCAAGATGCTTAATCTTTACTTAAATGGGTAAAGATGGCTTTTCTTCTTAAGAAATTCTAATCACAATCCTTTAAAAAGATCTCTCAAAAAGAAAAAAAAAACCTAGGATGGAGTTTTATTTCTTTTCTAAAGGCTAATGTCATCTTCCAGTCACTGGACTTCAGCTGTGTCTCGGTGTGCTGGATTAAAAAGCTTTATTCTAACAGCAGTATTCTTCTCATGCTTTTGCATGAGAAGACTGTAAGCAAGTCACCTTCTAACCTTTTTTTTTTGTTAAGCTAAACAGAGAAGGTCACAGTTTTCAGTTACACTTAGCCTGTAACCTAGAAACCAAATTACCTGCCTAGAAACTTGTCTCAGTTAAGTACTTGAGAGCTATCAGATGAAGAGGCATTATGAAAGTGCTAAGTATTTAAAACTAGGGAAAATTACCTTTTTAGTGACAGACTGCGACCCACAGCTTTCAGTAGTCTTAGAGTATAAGAACGAAGCTGAGACACTGAAGTTATTTCCTGCTCTTAAATAAAAAGCTGAACATTTCTGGGGTTGTACTGGAACAAGAGACACTCAATCCATCGAATTAAATGCCTGCAGAGATCAGCCAGTCAATTACTTTACCTGTGTCTCTAAGTGAATGTTGCTTACATTATTTTTATAATACTAACTTTTTTTTTGAAGCTCTGCAAGGTAAAACACTGGTAAACACTCTTCATGCTCCTCAGAAGAAAATAAGCCTCAGAAATGTCAGTGTAGACATGGAAAAGTAAATAATGGAAGGTAGAAAAGGTTCAGACTCACAATCAAGAGGATGACTACATAATGTATGGATGGCAGACAAGCTGAGCTCTGCCTGTGCTCTGAAGAACAGGAGTGTTTGTCTCTGGCTGCATGTCACAAGTTAAGGTGTGATGATCTGTGGAGGCATATTCTGATGACTCCTGATTGGGCCACTAACAAAAATCTTGCATCTGCCTACAACATTCTCTAGGTGAGTCAGTTGAATTGTGTTACCTGCCCACATGTTCTCTGTGTTGGTGAAAAAACACGTAATAATTCTATTTGCTGGGTCCACAAATGGAAAGTGTTGAGCTAAATTGCTTCACCTCGCTTTGACTGTGGCCTTTAAGGTGGTCACAGACCATAACCAGAGTTTAGCTGTCCTGTGTATTTTTGTTCTGTCTCAATAAAATCATCACAGAAGAGTTCAGATCAGAAGGGACCTCAGGAGCTCATCCAGTCCAGCCCCTGGCTGTAGCACGTTGAGCTTCAAGGCCAAACAGTGGATTGCACACCCCAGGGACCTGACTGGATTGTGCTATCTTCCAGTTAATCTGGAACAATATCATTGCTCATTCTGAGTTACAGTCAGCAAAGACAAATTGTGCTTCTCTGAAGCAGGTAAAGCACAGATCTGCTCATTAAGCCCATGGAAGAGAGCCAGAGATAAAATATCAAACAACTGTAACTATATTTAGGCAGCTGATATAATTCTCCATGAGTCAGGACACTCTTGCTTTAGCCTACTAGGTTTTACTTACAGGAGGGAGTTACCAAGGCTTCAGCCACTCCAAGGAGGATGTATTGAGGAGCTAAGTGGAAGCAAGGCATGGAGGAGACCAGGAGAACCTCCTCGGAAAGCTTCTGCTCCACCTGAGGGAAATGCTTTCGGTGTATTTCAGAGAAGCCAGCGACCATCACGGAGAGTGCAGCGGATAAGTGACCTACAACTGAGCAAAGAGCACAGAGAGCATTCACCAAGGCTGCATTACAGGATCTTCGTGTGTTTATAATGAAGCAAACTCCTAAGAAATGCAAAAATAAATTCCTTCCCCCTCCCCAAAACATTCTTTCTGAACACCTAAACATGAATATGGCAAAGGAACACCAGGTCAGCACGGAAAGAACTTAAGAATGTGGAATAATTGAGGGAGAGGAAAAACTTTTCTGAAGACCAAAGTCACAAAGAACAGCTTTTTACTTTTTTTTGAAGATTGAAGGAGGTAAGAAAGGAGGAGAGAAAGAAAAGGCAAATGTCCTTCCAGATATCACAAGAGACTGGGTAGGAAAGACTATCAAGCAGCAGGAAATTCTCCTACTTAAGCAGCAGTAAGATTCTGAAATACACATTAAAGCCGTAAACTTTAACCATTTGTTTTCTATTTAAAAAGAAGCAGTGCAGGCACTCAAAATACTGGATTTCTAAGGCTGAAAGCCATGGCAGATAGGAGAGGAAAAGATTAGTTGTGCATATCACACCTCAGGAGATCAAGGATTCCTACCTTTTCTCCTTTTCATCCACTTTAGAGTTCCCTTGAACTACTCTAGAAAGTTTGTTTATAGTGCATTTGCTGGCCTTTTAAACATTTCAGGATGAGATCTGCTTTAGTGGGAGAGTTCATCTCCAGCTTTCTAAGTGTTTACACATAAGTTGTGAGACCACAGTTGCCTCCTGCCTTTCTCAGCTGTCTTGAAGCAATATTGCCACATGATGTGTAATACACTGGATCCCCAAAACATTTCAATATACCACTGCACATCCAACTCATGGAGTCTTACACCTGCCTCAGTGGTAGGGCACAAGTGCAAGCACTGCACAAACACACAGGACCAGAAAAACCCCCAGCCCTACGTGTTCAGCCTCATAATGCATGATAAAAGGTTCTAAAACTCAGATGCACACTTCACCCATTGCACAGAGGATACAATTTAAATGTATTATTTTATATTTCTTGATCTTGACAGTATGAAATGGCTGTAGCCTCTCAAAAAAGAAACACACAAAGCAAGCACAGTTTCAAATAAGTCTCTGAACCTGAAACATGTATATTTCTTATGGTTTGAACTCCCACTTATTTTAATCAAATTTCTGATTTGTCAGCATTTCTAAGCCATTATGTGAGGAGAATTTAGTTTCTTTTGACAGTTTTGGCTCAAAGACTTGGACTATGTTTTTCTTTCAAAGCCTCCTCTGACTTCATGACTGATAATTGTTACGCTTATTAGATTTGACGTCAACAGTAAAAAGCTTTTGTTTCACATCATATTTATAACAATATAAACTTTTTCTTTTTGGGTGTCAGTATGGAAGAGGTGGAAAACTCATATAGCTAATTGGCCTTAGCCTTGTTGTGTTTTTGCAGGCCTCTGTGTTTCTTCTCTCAGCACCAAACTCACACCCTTCCACCAGCACAGTTTTCCTGCATTTCCACAGCTTTAAATATCCATCCCAATGCCTAACCCGAGTCCTGGAAGCTGTTTTGCTGTTAAGGTTCCTCTAGTGCTTAATGAGAACATCAATGAATTATTGCTTGAAAATTGATGACAGGAGGGAATTCAACAGCATTTTCTAACCAATGCAGCTTGTCAAAGCCAGGTATAAAGCCCTCAAGGAGCTTCTTGTAACCTTCCAAAGCAAGAGCTCTCCTAGTGAAAAATTATGTTGGTACTACAGAAACCTGAAGCAGTTCAGTATTACTACACAGTTCTATACTTGAAACATTTTCCCTATAAAAAGCCAATTCATTTCAGAAAAAGTAAACTGTGATTGCCCAACAATTTTAATTTTAATCTTTTAAGGTTTTATGTGGCAGAGGAAGAAACGAAGAGACTTGGAGATCTGGCTTTCCTAACTCTTCTCTCTTCAGTTCTGTTTGAAACAAGCAGCTAGAATGACCATTTGAGGCTTTGGTTTTCTAGTTTTAGTAATATTTGGGGGTAATTCTAGGACAAGGTTCTTTATGTTATCTGGGGACTAAGGTTGTATTGGACCTTTGTGAGTCCTGATCTCACATCCTGAATTGTACAGGTTAAAAAGCTTTCCTAGAATTAATAATTGTTCAAACTAGAATGTCTTTAGGGATAAATGGTCATCATGAACTTCCAAATCACCTCAAATAGACATTGGACTGGAGGCTTGCTTTTGTGTCCTGTATGGAGAGCTGTTCTCCATATCACTCATGGATGGAGTAAATCCAAGACTGAAACAACATTTCAGTATAGTCAGCCATTAAGAATATTACAGAAAGAACTTCTATGGCTCAGGTGTTTTATCTAGAACCTCCTGCCTGTAGCTGATGCACACACCAGACACACAGTTTCAGTTCTCTACTGAATCTTCTGCATTATTGACCGAATCAAGCAGCATCAAATATAAAACAAACAAAAAAAAAAAACCATCTCAACAATCAAAAAACCCACAGACAACTAAGAAACTGGAAAAACCCCAAGTCTACCAACTATTAGTGTTTTTCGTAAAGAGGTCCAGATATTCAACATATTTGGGACACAATCTAAATTCATGTTAAGATTTTAACGTTTTTTTAGGTCATACCTGATTTACAAATAAATCAACAACTAGAGAGAAAGTAACAGATTACAGTTTTCATATAGACCCTTAATACAGAACAATCAGATATTTCAGTTCAACATTGTCTGTGTGGTTCATACTTGAAAACTGTTATTCTTAACATACTGAGAGTTTCCAGAAAACTGCTGAAATTCCTTCCTCTTACAAGAGTTGAATTAAAATATAGTTATAGGCTGGCTTAACACCAACTGCCTATTTATACTTCCAATTTTGTTCCTGAAAATAATTGTGAACTTAATTAACTGTTGGCAAAAATATTGGCACTTAGAGGTCTACCATATTTGCAGGTGCAGTCATATACTTGGATATGTGAAGCCATTGCCTGTACTCACAGGTATTTTTATGCCTCAGGTAATTTATCACCTCTAACAGGAGGCTATTTTAATAAATGAAGCTATTAAGAATAAACCACTGCATATATTCTACTGCTGTTCAACATAAGAGGATAGAACATTAATACTAACTTGGAAATTTCCATAGTTTAAAAGAAAATGATTATCTGAACGTGCTTTTTGTGTTTTAATGCAGATGTTATTTTTAAAACTAGGGTAATTGCAACCTGCTGTGTTATATGCTTCTGGTTTGTATAAAACTTAATAACACTCTTAATTAGGCTAATTTAGTCAGATTAATACCTCTGTGTGTGTCAGTACTCACTGTGCTGCCTGCCATGGGGCATTGAATTAATAGCAGCACACTGAGAAAATAGTGGTTTATAAATATTTTCATCTGAGATTTGTAGTGCAGACTGGAAGATAAAAAATGTAGGAAGTTTAATGAGAGTGTCTATGAAAGGGAATAGTTTTAAGTGAATAAAGAATGGAAGCTGATTTTCTGGTGGTACTACATGTAGCTGACATCAGAAAAGGGTCACAGAGGATCCCTCCAAATCACTTCTGTTCTGTAGAACATAAGAGGTTTGGGGATAATTAAAAGCCAAATAAATAAAAATAAATAAAATAAATCACACCAGTGTCTACAGAAGGAGGCCCAACCCCTACTAAAGTGACCATTGCTTCTAGACCATGAATTGCTCTAAAATGAGTGCCAAACTCCAACCCTGAGGTTACAATAGTTACTGGGACTCACAACAGGGAAGACTTCTTTTTACCACTGTGAGAAAAAGAGATAACACTTCACCTTTGGAGACCCCTTTTTGTTTTAGGCATGTTTCAGTTAAGGATTTTAATAATCAAATTGCTAAACACCTGAACAATTATCCCATACTAAGTATTTTAACAAAAATTCTAGTACTGGAGAGGAAAGCTGTGCCTCTCCAAGTAACCTTCCACCTGTGAAGTGTTCAGCCTTTCCAATGGAAACAGCAGCCTAGAGATACACACCCATTTGTCTTGCATGGTTGTCTGCATGTTTTCTTTTGGTCATCAGTTCTAAAAACACCCATTGCAGATACACACTTAGATTAGGTACTTTTGTTTCACTTGTGATACAACTGCAGAATCTGGAAGAAACTGCACTAGTGATAATACAATTTCCCTCTTATGAGCTGCAGTCCTAACAACAATGTGTAAAAAATAGCAGAAAAACAAAGCCTCTGTTCATAACCTACTTATTTAAATCCAAACTCACCATTTTGAGCAACACACGTTTATCCAGTATCAGAGAGCAATTAGCTAAAGGACTTTTTCTTTTCCAAAAGAGACTTTCAACGTAAATTAACTTTCCAAAAATGGATAAACAAACATATAGAAGATAACCAAGTCAGAGTAATTCTCAAGACAAAATAGTCTTGAGATATCACTTCTCTCCAATACTAGGATGACTTGTAGTTATTTTTTGTGTGCCTCAAAATTTTTTATTGGTCAGAAGCATCTGCCTGTCCTACACAAAAGCTATGCATTTTTTTTTCTTGATTTCTGGTATGTGTTTCCAGGACTTTCAATAATTCCTTTGAAACATATTTACCTCTGAGCATCATCCCAAAACAAGTCCACCTTAATATTTATAGCCAGAAATAGTTGTATAGGATCATCCATCGTACTGAAATTTCTCTTTCAGAAACAGAAAACAAAGTAAAGCTGTATAAACACGTGGATTTTATACATACCAATGTAAAGTGTTGGAGAATGTCCAGTGTCCTTGGAACTAAAGAGACACGAGGAGTTAATGCATTCCAATACAGGAACAAGAATCAGTAGGGGCACAATGCTTATCACATTCATTGCTGCAATTGGGAAGACAAATCCACTGAAGTGCAAGTTGGAATTCATGGTTTGGAGATAATATCCTGAAGGAATCTGTATTGAAGGACAGAACCCCACTCCATTAGTATGCCAGGCATCTTTCACGGTTGAGATTTTTACTATATTTGGAAATTTCTCCGACATTTTTCCACCTGAAGAAGTCACATTAAATCAAACACGTGCGGGCCAAAAGGAATGACCATTCATGAAGGAAGCCTTTCAGATAGTGACAATATTGTTCTCTGCCAGAATGTAACACTGTCCCTCTATAACATTTTCTCCTGAGTTTAACAGTTCAAAGCAAAAATTGGTGAATTTGTTTGACCACCCCTAGTTAGAGCTATTGCCCAATTATTAGCCAATTAGCCTAATAATTTAGTCTCTGCTCAGACAGTGTTTAACAGAACAGAATCTTAGAATAGCAAGATGCAGAGGATTTAATCCTAGAATAGCCAAATTTTGAACTTCTGATTGCGTGCTCAAGGTGAGAGTTTTTCTCAAGACACTCTTGCCAGCACATGGCTTTAAAAGTTACGAGGAATGAAAATTTTGCCACAGCCTTAGAACCAACTTAATGCAACTCAGAGCCATAGCAGTTATATAGAGGACTTCCTTTTGCTCCTGGGAACTGGAAACTGAACCCCAAAAGAGGCAGATGAGGAACCCGCCAATGGCAGTCACCAGGGTATGCAGTTAAGTAGATTTGTAAGACTCTTTCACTACAAAAGCAGATAATTTCTCCTGCTTGTGTGAGGCTCTACAGAAGATCTGTTGAGTTTATTAAAAAAAGAATAAAATCAAAACCCCGATGGCTTCTACCAACAGATTTTTCAGTTCTGGTGGGGGTTTGCTTGTTTGTTTGTTTTTTAAGGAAGCTTGATTAACTAATTTCATGTGCAGCAGGGAGCCATAATCCACTGCGTTTTACTGAAGGCAAACTCCAACTTGAGCAATTCACAAAGCACTGTCGTGACAGAGCTTGATGTAGAACTGGTTTCTTTACTCTGTTTCTGTTTTTAGTCAGTTCAGGATTCCTGCAGCATCCTGCACAGCTTTTCAATATAACTGGTAACTTCAAACCCAGGTAGAATATTACTGCTTTGTAGCAGTCTGAAAATTAATGTATAGTTAGAAACTGAGGGTTTCTTATCAATGGTTATAGTTGACCCTGCTCACTGGGAGTCTGTTCAGTGCTGAGGAATTACTTAAATGATAGATCTTAATAAAAATATGAAAAAAACCCTACATTCTACCTCCAAAAGAATATATAAATTGAAAAGGGAGAATAAATAGCAACAGAACTATGCAAGTTTAGAACTGAGCCAAATTTTGTTGGATCCTTTTTTTTCCAATGCCTACTGCAAATAAGAATTGACTCCTTAATAGGAATTAAAATATCATCAACATGAATCACAGGCACTGAAAGCTGTTAAAAATATGAAGAAAATGCTCTTAATCTTCAAAAAAAGATACTGATCTATCATTTAGTCTGAGAAAGAGTCTTAAACTTATATAGGAAATTCTGCTAAAGGAGTAAGTAGACTCTTACAGCAGTGGAAATACTTCTATGTTTTCTAGATAAATACCTGGTTATTATAAATGTGGTTAATGATATGTGGTTAATTTTCATCTAGTCACTAAAGCATAACCTTGGTCACATTGTTGGTTTGGTAGGGGTTTTTTTGTTTGCTGGGGATTTTTTGTGCCTTTGGGGAGAGGGGGGTGTTGAGGAGGGAAGAGGAGATAAAATAAGGCAGATGGATGGGAACGTGGGATGATGGCAAGAGGAAGTGTCAGTGAAGCAGGATATGCCACATATTTGTACGAATTTCCTTAAGCAGCATTTTAACAGCAATAGGTAAAAATGAATTTCCGAGCCAGCTCATAAACTTGTTATTCCAGTTGCCAAAGGGTAAGCTACCTTGAACTCCTGCTTAGCCAGGATCATCCAGACAGAAAGGAATCTGAAGGAATCATGTCAGCTTAAGTGCCTTCTTGACACATTTACATTTATATAACATACACACACACTCAAAAGCGAAAAGAACCAGATAGCCTGACAGAGGGGCTGTGAAAGGACTGCTTCTTTCCACAAATGGAAAACCACCCACTTCCACTGTAGCTACAACAGCCACATAAGCCTGTCAAAACAGTAGGAGAAATATGCAACCAAAACAGCAAATAAAATTTTCTACCACTCTCCAGAAGTAAGTGAACATTTAATAAGCAGGAAAATTACATTTTTCAAGGAGAATACCAGGCCTGAGTCTGTGTTGATAACTGCAACACAACAGCATGTGGAGCACAGGACTCCAGTACAAGATGTTTCAACCAGTAAAGTTCAGAGAAAGGAGTAGCAAGCAGTCACACAAGCTCCGTAATGAGTCTTGACCAAGTCAATTTTCATTATTTGATGAGACTAGAGGTTATAGCAAGGACTATTCTTAGGTAATTAAAACCACTAGAACAAACATGCCTGGAGATACAGTAGCAAACACGTGTCACAGCCTATTTCAGCTTTCTTGTTTAAAAGTTGTGTGACCCACCTGCATAACGCACGTTCTGTACAGAATCTGGAAAGTAAACAGTGGGAAGAGTCTGGTGAGGGACTTGGTGCTTTCCACCTGAATCTCACTGTACTGGCCACCATGGTTTTCCTTGGCATGATCCAGCCAGTTTGTCACTCCCGCGCTGAGGTAGCGATGCCGCACGCAGCGCGTTTTCAGGGCACTGCCAATCACCCCAAAAGTCGTCAGCAGGGAACTCTCTGCAAGGAGTCAGAGACAGCAGACATTGGTATGTTTTTATTCGCTGCCAAAAGAAATAAGGCGAGACAAAACGCTTTGGAAGGGAAGATGTAACCTGATATATTCACCTCTGTGTCTTTTTTGGGTGGGAGAAAGGTAATAATAGCCTGGATTTGTTTCAAAACTTTCTTTTTTGGACCCATTTGGTTCACAACCTAATTGTCGCAGAAGCAATCCTGTCCAACATCCACAGAGAAGATTGCCTTTTGCTACCAGTTATTTAACACACCACAATTTGTTGCAGAGATTGAGCAAGTAAAGCATTAATTTCCTTTGCTTTTTCTTTCCGTTTATTGAATGTTGTTCGTTTTCATTTCAAGACAGTATTGTAATATTGCATATCTGCTGAAGTCCAGCAGCACTGGGAGGGCAGTAGTGAAGTGAGAAGGAAAAGGATTTTAAGAAACAGCTGATGAGATGAGAGAATTCTCATGGATGAATTTCAAAGCCAGAAATATTATCTCAGGACTTCCAAGTAGCATACTGGGACAGAAAAGTTTCCAATTCAGTACTTGGCATATTAAAACTTGCTCACTAGGTTCAGGAATTGCTAACTTGGTTCTCAAAGTCAGAGGAAATAGAAGTAAAATAAGGACAAAACTGTTAGCATCAGGCTTGAGAATGCAGACTAATTTACCTTTGGTAAATTGCCATCCATGCAAATAAGGGTTATGGCACTTCTCTACTTTTCTGAGTTCTGAAGCACTACAGTAAGTTGAGTATCTATAACTAAATTCTTTCCAAATATTAAGGTGAAGTAAGATTGCAGAGGGAAAAGGTCTCCCTACTATCTCTGATATGGAAATTATTTTCTAGAAATATCCATTAGCACTTGCTGGAAGCACTTGTTCTAGAGTACTAAGTAAGGGCATCTTATTAGATAAACTAACATTTAAAACTCTCTGGCTCTTTAGTGTCAATTTGAGGACTGTTGGCATTATGGAATAAAGTCTGAGATAGTTTATTAAAGCCTGCAAACACAGAGAGTGGGTAAAGTTTTTATTGTTCTGTATGACTGTACTAGGCAATTATTCTTACCACTCAATGTAAGTGGTGTTTAAGATCTTAGATTATTTTAAGACCTAATCTGAAGACTAAAAGTAAAAAATCTGCAGACTTCCAGAGTGACTTGACCAAGAAGCTAACCAGAAAACAAGTGGGACTTAGGGCTCTTCTGAAAGCAGAGGTAGTTTCAGAAGTAAATGAGAGATAACAGAAAACTTGGTTTCAGCTCAATTCATTGGCAGAGCTTGTAATTAAATATTTCAGATCAGAAAAATAATAATTTTTTTTTTTTTTGCCTTACCCTAGAGGTTGGACATTCAAAAAACGAAATAAGAAGCAGTTATGTGGTATTACTACTCTGCCAGGGTTTGAGCCCACTCAGATTTGATGATGCACAGGGTAACCCATGACAAGACCAGCAGACAGTTCAACAATGCAACAACACAGCTGTGTCCTGGTTCAGACTCAGTCCTGAAGATGGTCATGGCCATCTCCTTTCTTTTGGAATGTGAGGTGTTGGGCAGGTTCTTCTTTCTCACTTTCACTGGGAAAAAAGACTAAAATAAACAACAAAACCTGATAATTCCCTGTCTTTCCTAATGGATCAACTGAGGCTCTCCTTTACCTAATTTCAGTCAACTACCTTGGAAACGTTATTTTGCATGAGACAAAACAGACAAGTACATTATTTAGCTGTGTTTCTCTTCATGGAATTCCAGCAGATTATAAGAGCTAGTAAACTAGGAAGATAAAGCTGCTTAAATTTGCAGTGCAGAAAGCAACTTCAATGATACATAAACCTAATTATTATCAAGAGGATTTTGCCAATGATACAGTCAGAATAAGTACGTCATCCCTTCTTTAAAAGAAAATAAGTAAACCCCACAGAAATCCATAGTGCTGAATTCTTTTAGATTACAAATCTGATCAGGTAGTAGGAAACATGTTTAAAAGCACAGATATTTATATCAGTGCACATTACGTAGCTAAACATCATACTCTCCATATTTTTATTTCTAAAGTTTCCAACCTGTATAGATATTAAGTTGCAAGAAAATTATTTACTTTTTCCTTTATATGTTGCTTTCATATTCTTTTTCTTTCACTCTAAACTAATTATAAATACCTGTGCTATTTAATTGCAATAAAAAGCCTATATTGCACCCTAAATGGTAGACATTTTTGTCCTCATCTCTGTTCACCTACCAGTCCTTAAAATTATAGCAGTGAGAAGAAATGCAAACAAAGTCCATGCTTGATAGCTAAACAGAACTGAATGCAACATCCATTTGAAGAATTACCTTAAGATAAAAAAGGTAATAAATATAAAAATCATTTAAGGTCACCCATAGATTTGAATTACAGTTCTGAAGAATTTCCAATTTCATCACCTCGCTGGATAATACAAAGTATATTATCTTTTATTTTCACTAAGGAAATAAAAAACTTTGCAGATATTAGTGTAGAGATTGTCATTCTGCAAAGACTTGGAAAATATGTGATCATTCTAGCAACAGTCATAGGGAAAAAACACTTGATACAAAGAAAAAAATGTTCTACTAGTTTGATTGATGGTCAAGATAGACATAATCTACAAATTTATGTTATTCCACTTTGTAGGATTAAACTAGTTAAAGGATAAATTACAGAATTAGTCCATATTTAATTGTCCAGCTCAGGACTATACTAAATGTTTTTACCTTCTCAGGTTGTAAAACTGTAGTGAGCCCCATAACAAGGTAGCCAATTTGATGGTAGTCACTGCTTACCTCAGCTGCATATTATTATGAGGTTTTGGGGGCACTGTGGTGGAGATGCATTTCTTTGGTTCTATTTATTTAGAATAAACCTCTCTAGTGATGTTCTCGCTACAATATTACCAAACACTTAATTTATGCATTCATTCACTCACTGCTAATATATTTTTTCTTTGATTATATTTAACAAAAATACTGAAGTAATAACTTGCTTTCAGTCCCTGGGTTCTACTGAAAAAAAGAACACGAAGGTTTGGCCATTTATGGCCCTTTTCAAGCCACCTTGGTTCCTCTTACATTTCTGTGCTTGGTCCATTGAGAGGGACCAGTCTATCAAAGGATTTTGTAGAGCTCAGGTACCAACTGGTGAGGCCTCAGAAGCCTAAGAACTTCTGTATGAAAATACCTGCACAGTCTGCACAGGAACTATTTAAAGCTATTCAATATTTCTAGTTACTTTCAAATGAGTAAAACCACTGGAGGCTGTGTAAGCAAGCATGTTGAAATAACAGTAAGTACCAGATGTTCTGCAAGATAAAGGCATTTTGAAATTACTTTGCCATTAGTGCATAACCCTGTTTAGCTGACTAACCACTGTGCTTGACTGCCCAGCTGTGAGTTCAGGAGAAGCAACAGAGTACACTTAGCACAGGCACAAACTCTGCTTCAACTGACCAAAACACAGGTTGAACCAAACGTGACAAAATCAGTTCCACCAGCAGCGTGGATATTGTGCTTCTTCCTGCACAGGCAAATTCTTTGACGACTGCCTTGACACGTCAGAAAACATGCATAAGTTTACCACAGACTGCTTCCCACTTTTACAACCTATCCAGAATCTCCAGGTCTATTTTTACAGGGAATGGATGTTCTCTCTTTTTTACAAAAAGATATTGTAGAGCTAAAACCCGAGGATCTCCAACCAAACAGAGCAGTGTTATGCAAAAACTCTTTTTAGATATGCAAGCTGATTTCTTCTGTGAAAATAATCTCTAGAGTTACTTCCTAAGTTACCTCTTACCTGCTTTGGGTTTGTAAATCATTTCACCCCTCATCATGTGAATCGTGATGATAGCCATAATCCCAGACACAAATGGGATCAGAAAACCAAGGTTCCTGGCCACAGACTGCTGGATGTAAGAAATGCTGACAAAGACAACTGCTGAATTTAAGTTAACCAGCCAATAAAACCTAGTACACAGAGACAAGAGAGAGAAGAGTAGAGAGGCTGAATAATATAAGGCTTTTACAGAAGATTAAAACATCAAATTAAAGGCATGGTTAAGTATAGTAAGCATGGGCAGCATCAGTACCATGAACACATTGACACACCAATTAAAATAGAATTTCTCTTGAATGTCTCAGCTCCAAGAGGTGTAAGATTAAAGTAAGTGTATTAAGGCAGTAGAGCTGAACAAATTATCAAGTCTAGTACTGCAAATATTCTTGTGGGTGATGCTAATTAAATACATCAACATTTAACACTTACACATTTAATATCTGGCAGCATAAGTTTTGTGTATCATCAAATCATACGCTTCAAGCTTAAGAGAGAAATGACTTAATGCCACCACCCTTTGGTTAAAAAATATTACATGTTAGGAAATCTAAGAAATATTATAATTTGATTTATCAGTCCTTAGTTGCAAGGCTCAACTTGAACTTTTGTTGTCTTCTGAAAATATCTTAATAAGGAGGTTCCCCACCACATTTTTCTCTGACACTGTCTTTGGCAGTAGAGGTGCTTCCCAAGTAAGTGTTGGGCCCTTCCTAACCACAGAATATATTCAAAGGAAAATCACACACTCTGGGAAGCAGATGGCATACCACTAGTGATAGCCCTACTGCAGTTTGGAACCCTCGAAAATAGCACAATAAATATTCTTTAAGGAATTAAGAGGACAGCAAAAGATAATTCAGCAATTTTTACTTCAAATTTGACTCCGGCTTGAAGACTCAACCTTTGAAATTTTAAGTTAAGAATATAAATTTTGACCAAACTTTCAAGTTCCAGGTTAGCTCTCAAGATGTGTATCGGTCTTGTGTGGCAAGAAGCTGCAAGAGGAGATTCCTTTACCTTTGCTGGAACCTTAGCAAAATGGTTTCATTTAAAGGTGAAATATAGACTGACACATAATTAGACAGCTTAATACATACTGCTTGAGGAAACAAAGCTTTTTTTCTTGTTCAGTGGCACTTCTGCCTCATGTATGCTATTTAAACTTGAGTATTTATGTCTCCTAATTAATCTAGAATTATCCTCTCAATCATAAAACAAAAGGCACTTTGGAATTATGTTACTCCATGATGATATAGTAGGACAGATTTTGTACATACGCACGTTGACTGCTGTTCAACTAAAGCTTTAAAAAAAATACAGTTACACGCAAGTTCAGTTAGAACTTGTGTGGACTTCTTGAATGAATTCCTGATATTTTTTAAACTTAGAAGTTTCAGTGGCTCTTTTCCAAACGCTCTAAAGAAGTGTGCTGGAGCTACCTGAAGTCCTGACACTCTTCTTGGCTCTAAGAGTGTTTGCCTGGAAGCAGGAGGCATCCAAAGAAAAACCTTGAGTACAGGAGAGCACTTTTGTTCTTCACCACTGTACCATGAGACCAAAACGTAAAGTTCCTGTCCTCTCACAAAAATGAGAAGGAAAAAAACCCCAATGGGTTTAGCAAACAAGAGAGATAAACTACCCTCAATACACAGATCAGAATTTAGGGACATGCTCATATCACACTGACAGCAGCAGATCAGAACATAGACAAACAGACAACACACCTGGCCAGTTCTCATATCACAGCTACCTAACGCTGCAATATTTGGGCTGACATTACATAAAGTGTCTCAGAGACCCCACTAGGACATAGTGGGTTTAGTTAGATACACCAAACTGAATATCATGTACAGCTTTGCAGGGAACAGCTCCTTCCTGGAGCTTCAGCACTCTGAGGTCTCCTCACAATGAGAGCCAAATGGCAACTTGAGAGGCTCATTTCAAGAATGCAGTCCAGGCACAAACCTAAATGCTACTGTGACAAGCCACACAGACCCAATAATCTTCTTATAACACTTTACAGAACTGCATTCATTTCGATAACTTTAAAAGAAGCAGCAACTCTTATTGAAAAGTATTATGTTTATAAAGAATTCAAAAAGTTTTTACTTAATGTAACATTTGAGATGAAACTGCTGAATGAAACAACCTGAGATCAAGTGAAATACATGAAAATAGACCTTCCCAATTAATTTTGAAGATGCAGAAAATTTCTCGTCACCTGAAATATTATTTGCTTTTATCTTGTAAGCCTGCCTAGCTCTCACAAATTTAAGTTTTGATTTATCCGAATACAGGCCCAGATATTCCATGCATAGACTAGAATACAAGCTATATACTTTTCTGTACTAGAGCTTTGTAGGAGGAGGTCAATTTTTTCATTATCACTACAGAATTCTCTGCAGAAACAAGGTGGAGGAAAAAATTCCAGAGAAACAGAAAAACATTTTAAAAAGTCAAAGCAAAGTGTGTTCAGGATAATGGCAGAAATTGATTTGTAATATATGGAAAGAAAAACAATGAGGCAGGGTGGAAAATATTACTGGTTCCATGTTCTCTGTAGTGGTTTTTTTGGATTTTTTTTTTTTTTTTACAGCAAATCTGTAAGACAAGATACAGCTCTGCTAACTCTCACCCCTAGTCTAGATTGCACTCTTTGCTCCCATAGAGAGAATGTATATCTCTTGATGCAAAAATAGCACTTAGAAATGCAGAAGGTCTCAGGGAAATTTAGTCCAACAGAATCCAAGCCCTTCGTCACTTAGCATTGGTATATTCTGTTTGTTTAGAAGGTCAGAGCCATAGTACATATCAGGGGTTAAGAACGAGGCCCTGGATGTGCAAAGCAATTTTTTTGAATTAGAAAACAGGCAACTACAAGGTCTTTTAACCCAATCTTTAATTCAATAATTCTGATTGTTTAAAAAGAACTTGGCTAAGAACGTAGATTCAAACTTAGCAAGAGCATGCAAGCATCTCATTGTATATAATTTTAAAATTTAAGCCAAAGACAAGAAACTACCAAGAGAAACCAGCTTACCAAGGAAAAGTGATTATATTCTGAGACATTTAATGAGATTAAGAGTGAACCCTCCATTTTTTAGAACTTGAGATTGCACTCCAAGAGCACCTCCTTGGGTGTCACTGCAAAAATTATTAAATTTTTTTTTTTAATTGCACATGTGCCTTTCTTGATATTTCCAGAGTTCCAAGAACTGACCCATTTGGATTCCCCCAAGGAACTTTTTATTCGCATTATATCTCCTTTGTAATCAACACTGAGAAATGTCACTTTGATTAAACACAATTCTGAATGGCTAAGACCACAGTACAATAAATTCTCCAGAGCTATCTTTCAGAACAACTGATTGCTCTCCAGTTTTAATCCCCCAGAGCCTTATTTAATCAAAATGATGTTGCTAATTAAGGATTAAAACTCAGAATAGAGTAAAAAGGAAGGATTTTTTTTCTCTTCTCTCCTATGGGCAGGTCAAGGAGGCAGAATCTGCTCTCAGGAACTAAACAGTCTCATCCACCTTTGGTAAAGCTACCTTATTCACTGAAGTTTGGATTTAATTCAAAACTCTTTGATATTAACATAATTGGAGGAAAAAAGAATAGCCAAGAAAGCCATCCCCAAAGGAGGAGAGATCTGATTCACTAAGATCTTCACTGATTCTTCAGCATTGCATTGTTAATATGCAAATGTGCTCAGTTTTTATTTTAATAACCATGCATGTAAAGGAGAGAAAAGGGGGCAGTTCAGGGCTTTTTTTTTTTTTTAACTCTGCCTTGAAGCAGGGATTTGGAGGTTCCCACTGCAACTTCCTCACTGGACAGTTTAACCAGAAAATATAGCACTCTGTATAGGGCTACAGAAGTGGTAAGGAAAGGCAAACAAATGACTACAAATTATCTCCCTGATGCACTGAGAAAGAAATAATTAATATTAAAAAAAAACCCAAAAAAACACCACCCTGAATTTTAAGAACCATCTAAGATCAATTTTTCTTAAAGAATTAAAAAAAAACCACCACACCAAACCAAAACACAAATGTCAAGAGGTTTATCTGATGCCAGAACTTCCCAGCAACAGAGTTGAAACAACGTGGCAGCTCCCTACCACTGAGCTTAGCAGTCACAGACTACAAGCAACCCCTACTTCCAGCAAACCAGCAGACTCTACTGCTGCCTCTCATGGCTAAAAATTTACTCTGATACAAATTCCAATATATCATTGAATTTTGTCACAGTTAGTTAGGCAGAAATGGGAAAATATCCTAAAGGGATATCCATACTAAAGGCAGAAAAACAAGTGGAATATGTTGTTCCAACAGCAACTGGATGGTCAAATCTTTGAGCATTTGGGCATATTGTTTGATCCTCAATACTCTGACAGCATATTTCTGTGAGAGGCTAAAATAGACTATCACCTACTAGCAAAAGGAAAAAGTTAGGAGAAGTCTTAACTAAAACTCTTGGAAACTCTTCCAAAATCTACAAGTTTTGTGGTTAAAAACAAAGCACAAAACCCACCACCCACAGAATCTACATTTCAAGGCAATGCTCTATCATTCCCAACAGATACTTAGCCAACATCAAATTACCAACCAGTTGAAAAATGAAAGAAGTTCCTTTGGTCCACAGTCCTCAAGGTTGTATGCACTTAGTGGGCAAACTATAGCTCTTATGCCTCCTATTCCCAGGCTAGCTGTGAGTAGTGCAAAGTAGAACACTATTTTCTGCTCCCTTTTGGGTAGTGTATGAAGAACATGTCGCCTGTCGATGTAAATGTCTTCAAAGGGGAATGACACGACAGGTAATAGAGCTGTGCCTGGAACAGAAAGAAAATTGTTGTTTGGAATTAATTAGAATCAGACGAATCAGACTCATATTTTTTTAAAGCAGGTACGTTGCAAAGACAGATGGAAAAAAATCAGAGATGCACAACAGAAAAGTGCAAAGAGGGACAGTCATAATCCTGTAGAGAGGCAGAACCTTTCTGAATGTTGCTATAAAAAGTAAGGCAAAACCACTATGGGCCTCCAAGAAACTAAACTTTCTCTGAAATGCTTGTAAGGATTCAGGTTCTTCTGTCAGCTGAACCACCAATTAACCAAAAAAAGCCCCAGACACCTCACTGTGGAGTGAAGTCTTTTTTACTATAAACCCCAGAATTGTAATAGGAATCAAAATTTAACAAATAAATTCTCAAAACTTTTGTGGAAAATTTTTTCTTTTTTTTTTTTTTTTTCTGTTGCACCTTCATGGAAAACACATGATTTTCAGAAACTTTACCCATAGAAGCACTGCCATGAATTGCATTTGTCACCTCTAGTCTGTAAAGCAAGTCTTTCCGATTTAATCAGCTACAGATTTTTCAAGTTGTAATTGGACTCTAAACTTAAAATATATTAATGCCTCAACAACACAAACATTAGCCACTACTAAGACTATGACTGCTCATCAGACTCTAATGCATCAGGAATGTTTAATTATCTATCTTCAACAAAAAAATATTCTGTCTAAACCAATATCCAAATACCTCAAATTCTGTTTGTGTCATTGGTTTTCTACTTTAAGATATGCACTGCAAAGACAAGTGGTAGAAGGACATTTAAACCAGAATCCCATAGGAGAAACAGTGGGACACAAAACAATAATTTTTGCAGACTGCTTGCATAATGGGTTTGTAATCAAGAACATTTCAGGAGTGGCTCTGATTTTTTACTTGCTTTGTTGCAGGTCTAAATTACAACGTGGATGGCTGTTGTAGAAATCAGACTTTGCTTATGCTCAGTAACTGGTTCAAGTAAGAAGTATTTCTATCAACTTGGTTTAAGCTGACAGAGTAACCACCCTCTGTGAGAGACACTAATTGCTACAGAACAGTCACACTTAATTTGAACAGTGCTTTTATATAAAAGATCTCAAAAATGAGACACAGGGAAGGTTCAGAATGTGCTAACAGAAAGCAGGCCCTGGGTGCAGGTATTTGGATACACTCTCTGTACTTCAGGCAAAGTTTGTTTATGCTGGTATGTGCTTAAATACTTTTCCTCTTGTCCAAACACAACAATCACATACAATCTTACTACCAACAGCTGGGAAACAGTTTCCAAGCTCTCTCTCTCTGACTAAAGCCTTGCATTGGTGTCAAACAATGCAAACCAATAAAAACTTTAGATGTTTGTCAAAGGGACCAATTTTAAGAGTTGAGCATCCACGTTCTGAATAGCTAACCCACTTTAGAGGAGTCAGGTTTGTGCATCAACTACACACAAGATACACACACAAATGTCCCTTAGTCTTGCTCAAAGCACTGCCTCACAAAACCACAAAGGTAAAAATACTGCAGTGCATTTTGTAGAGGAGGAACTAAGTCATTATCTGTTAGAGAAGGTGGCCACAAGGCTGGAGGAAATGGTTAGATTTCAAACACAACGCTCGGGAATGCACTTCTGCAAGAGAACCGGTAAAACATGGAATATTCCCGGTGTGTCACCTACCTAGGAAGTGTAGAAACATGCAGATGCACACAAGCTTGATCCTGCCCACGAGGCACTCTGCAATCCAGCCCACCAGCACCGGTGTGAGCATGGAGGTGCCCACGAAGCACATGTTGGCCATGGCTGCCTGGTAGTTGCGGTAGCCGAGTTTGACGGTGCAGAAGTGGATCATGTTGCACACGATGCCAAAGAACGTGAACCTCTCACACAGCTCCACCAGCAGCACACAAATTGCCTCTCGGAGCTTCTTCTCAGGCTGAGACAGTTTTCCATCGTGGTTGCTTCTCCCAGCTAGGGGACTTTGCTCCTGGTCAGCCATGTGGTTCAAAAATCCCTTCCCCTGCACATCTCTTCTGTCTGCATCGGGCATGCTTGTCTTTTTTTTTGAGTATGACTGAGCAGAGCAGCTTAAGTTGCAGGTGCACTTCTGTGCTCCTCCACTGCAATTAGCAAACTGGTAAGACTCTTGCTTTGAATTCCACACTTCTCTACTACAATTTCTTAGGGCACCTGTCACTTTTGAGATATTACACTTTGAGATCAAAGAGTATTAAAAAAAAAAAAAAAAACACAACAAAATAATCAAAGAACTATATGAACATTTCAGCTTCTGAATTTAGAAACACTCAGGAAGTTAATTAGTTTATTTAATTAGTCCATTTGGGGGTGAACAAGATTTTTCCCCAGAATTATATTACCTATTAAATTATGTGAATCCAATACTGTATGTGCAAGTCTATCTGTATGTTAAAGATAAAGGTTTAAATACACATGAAAGCTAACAATTTCAGCAGAATACAGACAACAGATCAAGAAAATAATTTGGTTAAAATAATTCAATACTTCAACTAGGCAACTAGTGAAAAACTGCAAGTAGATAAAGAGAGGGATTTTTTTTTTTAAGGTAAACACTATCCAATCATTATGATACTTCTTGTTAGTTTTGGTTGAAATTCAGATAAAGTTAATTATAAAAATAAGTAATGCTTCTACATTTAAGTTAGAAAAGCAAATTTTTAAAGAAAGTAAGTTGAATTTATTAGCTAAAGAAAAAAAGCAATCTAGAAGCAACCTAAACCACAACTGTGTCTCTAGGCAGATATAGCACTGTGGCTACAATGCATCAAAAGGGGCAGGGGCACAGGTGATGTGTTCTCTCATATCAAACAAAAGCAATTACAACCTTGAGAGGAAATTAGGAAGAGCCAAACTTACGGTGCTTTGCAATGCTCCTGTTACTTTATCCACAGAGAAGTTTTCTGATTTCCCAGATCAGTTTCTTCATTTTGTGGAACTCATTAAGATCACTAACAACTGTTCAAAAAATACTTCTAATTACACATGAGAAGCATTCCTCATTTATTTGGTACAAATGTAAATGCATACACATGTTGCAAGGCAGTGGTAAATCAGGTCAGCTTCCCTAAATAGAGCTCTCAATGTCTCTGATAGCATTTTTTGGCTCTGCTGTTTGTTTCCATCTGTCCTTATAACTACTCAAATTTTACCTCTTCAGATCTATTTAGAGTATGAGAACTACTCCATCACAAAACAGAAGCACAATAGTATATAACCAGTATGGGTAAAGATAGATTTCAAAATCACCTGAAATAAAAAAAGGCAACTGTGATTCAAACACACAACCTAGAAACACTGAAGCTGAAATCTAAGTAGTAACAGACTGTTCCCTAAAACAATTCTGAAAAAAATATTTTTTTAATCTAGTACAATTCTACAGCAAGAACTCAGGTAGCAAAGAACTTATAGTTTTCAGAGATGTACAGTTGGGGATGAAAACAGCTGTGATTTGTAGCATGCCAAGAACTATTTCTGTCTTCTAATCCATGACAGCTCAAATGATCCTCATTTGGACAAACCAACCTGAGGAATCCAAAGTAGAAATCACTTATAACTCAGCTCAGTTTCTCAATCAAAGCCTAAAGAAGCCAATCTCAAGTCAAAACAGGACAGACAAAAGTAATTTAACTCAGAGGTGCATATACCTCCTGTTGCATGAAGCTACTCTCATCTAACTGTTCAGGAAGAATTTTTTTTTTAAGGACATACAACTGAATTTTAGCATCAGTTAGAAAGCATAATGATAAATACACTCTTGCTCCCATAGAAATTTCAATGTAAAATAATTGGCCTTCCCTTAGAGGGCAAAGTTTACCTGTTCTCATAGGTGATAGCAAATCACAGTGAACTATATCATGGTAACTGCTACAGAGAGCAGGGCTACTAGCTGGGATGGCTGTTTCTTAGTCCTCATGTGGCTTCATTTACCCTAATTTTGGGTTACAAGCTAGGGAAAAGCAGTAATTGGCTGAGCTTTATAAATGCCACAGAGAGCAGGAAGTGGGTGATTCTCATTGTTACCTTGAATTGCCTTTTCATGTGACTAATACAGGTGTGGTGGTGATAATAGCCACAGATCAGTACCTGAATTACCGTGCTCAGAAAATACACAACTTCATAAAACAAGGTGATATTTATGGATTTATTTTTTAAATCACTTTTGCAGCAGTTATAGGTGGTAAATCTATTTACTTGACATGATTTTAGGTGAATTCTGGTTGAATCAGCTGGCTTTCACTTGGCTTATTCTTACTTATTCTTACACAGAGTAATAGGACTGCATAATGCCTGATGAAAAAGTCTATTATTTACATCGACATATGTAGAGCTTTATACATACTGAAGCTCCTAGAAACCAGATGCACAAAATAACTGCTATTTCAAAATCCAGCCCTTCTGGCAGTACCTCTGTCTTCCAGTAAGGACTTTGTACGTTTTTTTTTAAACAAATCTTCTTCAGAGGATGGCTCTGAAAATGTGACAGTCAAATCTTGGAGAGAGGTTTATAAAAGTACTTTTTCCCGTGTGACAGTGTCAGCTCATTAGAGGTCTGGCCATTAATAAAAGACTTGGTGCCCTACCACCCAAGGCAAAAGATTACTTCTTGTCATGCTAGAACCTATAAGTTAGCACTAGGTTAATTTTTTAAGTTGGACAGGTTAGAACTGAAATTTTTTCACTAATTTCCTCTGACAAGAAGAAAGGGTTTTTATTGTAGGGGTAGTTTATTGAAATTGAGGGGCAGAACTTCAGTGCCCAGCACTATGTTCTAGAAGGGTCAGTCTCTCTAATGTTTTAGGAAGTTTAATTCAGCTTTACTCTACTCTTTTAAAGAACATGTAAGAAGTGTTACCCTTCATCATAGCAATGGTTGTGGCTCCTGCTAAATATCTGGGGTGGAAACATAATTGACATGGACAAGACTGACGATGCAACACAAGGATTTTGACGACGCAAATAAAAAATTACATGGGTCAAATCTTCCTAGTTAGCTCCCATTAACTTGCAAGGGTTGCCAAGCTGGCTCAAGGACCACTGACCTGAGGACTGTTATTTGGAAGGCTGAAGAAATGCAGAGCAAAAGCTCTGGGTGAGAGCACAGCCAAACAGGGGCAAACATGCCTGGGGTTTGCTGCCTGCTGGTGTAAACACAGGTCAGCCACATTAAAGAAACACAGCTCAAAGTGGGGTGTCAGAAGGAGAGAAAACAGGAAAATGCTGCAAAGACAAGTTCAGGGGACTGCTTCTGGCACCAAGTGTCTTGCTACAGATACAGGTGGCTAACTAGAAGAGTTAGAGGGTTAGTGACAGAAAAAACAGATGTGGTAACAGCACGGGCTAACACTAGACTTCATACTTTTCAAAATCAGCACTTTATTTACTTCTCTTATGTGTATGAGAAATGCTCAGTGTAACACAGGACAGCAGTTCCCAGGCCATCAGATCACCATCCTGACCCCTGCAGGATGCCCCTCGGTGAGGGCAGCCAACCACCCTTCCCTGCAGAACTGCTCGTGCTGCTTTTGTCCAGCACAGTCTGTGGCCTCAGGGAAAGGGTTGGGCACTCTGGTGTAAGGCATATCCTTCTCTCTTTTTTTTTCCTTCACGTAGTTATATCTCTAGTAAGGAAAAAAAAAACAACAAAGGCAAATTACAAGTCTTTTCAGGCGTAAAAAGTAAGTACTAGAAGCTGAGGTCTTGCGCACGTTGGAGAAGATCTGCCACCTATGTTTCCCAGCACTTCAAAATATCTGCAAGGACAGAGTTGAATTGCAGAAGGGGTAAAGAAAAGGTTCATGGTTAAAAAAAAAAAAAAAAAGAAAAATTTTGCTTCTAGTATGAATTTTATCTTTTTCTGTTAACTTTTTTTTTTCCTTTTTTTGTCCTCTTTATTCATCTTTAGGTGTCACTTTGGACAACATGATATTTTTTATGCCCTACATCCTATTTCACAGGTGAATAATGAAACTTCCTCTATTTAAAATGTTACCTCAGACAACCATTCCAGTGATTTCTGCACTGCCTATCACTGTAGTCTCAGAGTACTCTGGCTTGAAACAGAACTGGGACAGAATATGACAGTGCTTCTTTTGGAGTCCACAGCACTTCAAACCCATTGCTGAAAAACTTCATCAGCATCAGTAAAAATGCTGGCTAATACTTTTCTGATAACACAGCAGAAGAATAAATACATGCAAAACCCAAGTGCTTTGTGAATCACGTAAAAGGTGAATTAAGAAACTGAAATGTAGTCACTGTGAGTTTGAAAAGGCTAATTTGTGAAATCTGTTATGTTACCAAATCTACTAAAATAAAATTGTTTTATATTTCAAAGAGCTGTATTAAATGTTTTAAAAGGACACTTTGAAGGCTGAAAAATAGCATGTATGAAATAACCAGTTATTAAAATTACTGATTATATGAGAAATTCTCTAAAAAATTCTGGGAGTATGGTACCACATCACCTTTGAATACTTTTATTCTCCCTTTGGTAAATATTCTTTAAAAACTTTCAGGACTTTATTGAGATGTAACTGGGAACTTTACCCAATTCTGCATTGCTGCAGGATGGATATAATACCTATCTTATTCTATGGCAACTTTTGCCTGTGAAAGTACAAGACCATGGTGAGACACTGAATTTAGGGAAAAACTGTATATTCAGAAGTATATTCAATTTTTCCTTGTGTAGTCATAATTAAAAATAACATGGGAAAGCCTTTTTGTCAGGGAAGGTTTAGGTTAGATGCTGGAAAAAGGTTCTTCACCTAGAGGGTGGCTGGACACTGAACGGGCTCCCCAGGGAAGTGGTCACAGCACCAAGGCTGACAGAGTTCAAGAAGTGTTTGGACAGTGCTCTCAGGCACATGGTGTGACCCTTGTGGATGGTTCTGTGGAGGGCTAAGGCTTGGACTTGATGATCCTTGTGGGTCCCTTCCAACTCAGCACAGTCTGTGATTCTGTGATTCTTCATTCTACTGAAAGGTTACATCCCAAGAGAGGGAGTCAAAC